CCAATAACCATTAAATGACGCGTATCACATTCATCTAAATTTGAATCGATTAATCGCTCAATAGGAATTGGCTCGTAATGCGATTATTAAATGTTTTGAAAACGTCTCCAAAATATTTATTGCATGACTTTGCGTTATTTGCTGTTCCGCCAAAATTACGTGCTAATGTCATTTGAATATTTTCTGGCGTCATTTCGGATAATGAAAGTCGCTTGACTAACGAATAATAATCTAGAAGGCCATGGAAATTAGCCGTATCTTGTCCGTTTTCTCAATAATCTGAATACGCTTTAGCTAAACTTTCTAAAGCTAGTCTTTGACAAGGTCCAATAACTATCGTACTTAGTAAACTTTCAGCGGTATCTACTAAATCATTTAAACCAGAGGTCTGGAAATAGTGACATTTGATTAAATATCCGAAATTTAATGAAATAGCAAATTTATGTTTATACAAAATATTACCTTTGAACAAGCAATGCACGACTACTTTTGCTAATATCTAAGCGCCAATTTGATATTCCAATCACCGAGACAGTAGGTCCTGTCGGATATATTTCCTCTAGAAAGAATCTTTACGTCTAAATGGACTTGACTCGAGCAAAGAGTGAAGCACTTTTAACGGATTGTAAGGACTCGTTTCAGCCAAACCGACTAAGATTTAAAAAAATTAATAAGAATATGTATATCTGAAACAAAAAAAAAACAAATGAAAAATCACCGTGATCAAGCAAAATAATACTAATAATGGGAAATAGTTTGGATGATGTTTCCTGATATGTATTAGCCTTTTCAAACACTTTAATTAAACCATCAGAAGTTGGAGAAGTAGTACCGTGATGTGGAATTAAGTAAATTTGTGGCAACATTTTAAAATATTTGTCATTTGAATCAGATCCACGTAAGTTCGAACTAATAAGACGAATTGCTAAAGATTTTGATGAACTTTTAAAATTAAGTAAGATTAGAAAAGCATAGAAATAATAATAAATGATGTGGTGAAAATAAATTTATATATACAAACCCAGGAGCTCCGATTAAAAACAATGGAATTTTGGTTAAGATGCATGCAATCATAACTAAAACATTCTCCAATAACGCTTCATTCTTTGCTAAGGTAGGTGGACATTGCATCCTATTAATGTAATCTTCTTGCTCATCACGAATAATTTTAGAAAACGCATCTTTTTTCAAATTTAATATTTTTTCCATTTCAATTCGATATTTTTTACGTAATTTTTGATCATATAATCGAGAATGATTGCAAAGACTAAGTGCTAAAACATAAGATCTGGATTTTATGTTACCAGATTGCGATTTTGGTGGATATCTATGCCCCTTTTTAAAATCGGACGATTACCAAGAGAGTTATAAAAGTATTTCACTAATGTTATAGCTCGCTTGACATCACGCAAGCTGACACTATACGGTTCCTCAACCTCACGAACGAATCTTTGAGAAGCCAATAAGAGATTGGCAAATACAGGACTTGCCAGATTTTTTAATTCCTTGTCTACCATAATTTGAATATACTTAAATTCATCATCTTGTTTTAGAACACTTTAGTCCCATACATAATCCAAAACTTGATCAGGAAGTGGTTTGACGTGATAGTCAAGGTTACTTTCTCTTCATATTTTTTGACCTTACTTTTTAAACCAGCTTCACTTTGAGCTTTTGTACGAATACGTTAAGGATTGCAGGCAAAGAATAAACGAATATTTGGATGTATGGGTTTACTATTAAGTATTCAATGAGATATTAATCCGAAAGTAACCCTATATGATTACAAGTGTTGATTTCATCAAAAAATAACAAAATCTCGCTATTCACTGCCTTTTCAAAAGCATTATTTATAAAATCCATAATTGTTTCTTCTTTAACTCCAGCATGAAGGTTAAGAGTTTCGAATTTAACTTCAACCATATTGGCTAAATATGCAATTAAATTTGTATAAAAAAAAAATTTTTGATTTGGGTAAGAATTTTTTTTAATACAGTATACAATTATTCATTAAAAAAAATATCACCTTGCCACATCCCGCTTCTCCACAAACTATGACCGGTATATTCGCACTTGCTCTTAAAAGAATTAGGGCCATCTTAATTAAAATATCCCCAGAAAATGCGTATTCAGGAAAAACCTTTTTTCCGTTGATCTTCGTGCCAAAAATTGAAGTTTTTCTAAGAGAGCATTCGCAGCCATTTTATTATAATCACTAATTGCCATTGTTTTTATCTCCGATCGCTTGACTAAATAAAATTTTAACATTATTAGGAACTTTTGTTCTGTTACGATATAAAGCTGATATCGTATCTGGGGTTTGAGAATTAAAGACTACTATAAGATGACTTGAATCGTTCCATTGAACAATCGTTCCAAGACGAGCATTCTCATCATCAATATTAGCTTCAGATTCTAGTTGTGTTGTGAAGCTTTAGTTTTGATAGATCGAGTTGCAAAATCGTTTGAGACTCCTATCAGGGTATCAACTATCAAAGATCAAATATTAGTTTCTTTTACCATCAATTTCAAATTATCTACAGTAAAAAATGGACTTGATGATAATCGAACTAATTGATCCGCAAGAACATTAATAAATACTTCCACGAACCTATATGAAAAGATACCTTCGTTATTTTTGTTAGAAAAATATTTATCTATAAGATTTTGGCAACGCACTAACGGTAACGGCTCTTTGATTGCATCATCCGTTCGAAAAAGGATTTCTTTTGTATTTATTTCCATGCTTTCATACAAATTCAAATAATGACAGACAATTTGAATTGGACCATGAATTTCTCAAGAAATCTTTAAATTGCCTATATTCCAAGATAAATGTTCAGACAATAGAAATCCTAACATAGGAAGTGAACTACGTAAACGTTGTTCAGTAGTAGAGGCTATTTCAATAAAAATGTGTATAGCGTTTTTTAGGATGGAAGACAAGCTATATCGACATTTGTAGAAACTATGCCTAAGGTTAATAGCTCGAATAAAAACATATTGACATCTTCAGGATGGTCTGATGATACTATATTTTATGTAGACTTGAAGTTTACATTTTTTGAATTGATGTGCAAGTCTATAATATTCCATACCATCGCTTATTAAAAAGCTACGCGGAATTTTCTTTTTATTGTAGCTGCTTTCTTTAATCCATTCAGTATTACCTTGCCCGGATAAGTCGGATGAGACAGCTATAACATTTTTACATAAATTATAATAAATTTCTTTCATTGTCTCGTGAACATTTGATCTAAGATATGATGGCGCATTCCTGCCTCTCTACAACAAATAAGTGCCAAAAAATATTTTCCCGTTTGATCTTGCATTGATTTAATTTGATTAACCAAACTATATTGTAATTCAAAGTCTAATAATTCTAGGTTTGCAATACAGAATAAGTGATTCTCATATCTATTATTTGAAGCAAAAAAACTTCTTTTAATGAAAATTGAGAGCTCTTCAATGGTAGTTGAAGAGGTGCATATTAAAAGTTGCCATGGTTCCGGGTAAGATCCATGATTTGCAAACAACGACATGATGATATTTGAAACTAATGATATGTTGTTGCAAGCCGCAACGAATGATTTACCCTTCGTAACGATATCCGACTTTACGTGTTGTCCAAGAGCTTTAAGCTTACGTGATTGTTTTGGAACATTTTAAAAATTCTTTCTAATTCATTACCAATTACACAAATAATCATTAGATTCATGTGGTATCTTTTGGACACCCTCTCGAGGAGGTAACTGGGCTTTGCTGTTAACAAATCTAATCAATATTTTACATTCTTCTTCAATTTCCATATATAAATTTTCTGATGTGAAATAATCATAGAATGCTAAAATGTTACGAGAAGGGAAGAATGTTAAATAATAACACATCTCTTGTGCTTTATCCACTATTTCTTTCCTATAAATTTGTAAATTATAAAGCTCTTCAAAAATTCATAAATAAAATAAAAAGCATTCTAAAATTGAATATATTTACCATTCGTCAAGTTCATTTTTTAAACTTTTTAAGTAATTTATCATACTTTCTGTGCCATGTAATTTTTGTTCATATATTCTATAACCAAAATGTCCCATTTGGATCAATACTGATCCTACATTAAATATTTCTTGGGCGGTATCAACTTGGACAATAAAATCGTCTATAATGTTGGACATTTCCTCATCTTTATCGTTTATTACACCACCATAATTTATCCTAAACGTAGTTTTTGTTGTGGCAATTAAAAGAGCTCCTCCACGTAAATCAAAAATTTAATTTAAATTATACTGCATATTAGTTTTAGAGGTATATTCCAATAGTACTTGACATTTATCTCCCTCTTTTTTTTCGCGTTTAAAAGTATAAATTCCGTTTTTTTACGGCATTCTTAATCTTTTCCTTAGTAACTTCTCCACGGTTCGAAATGCTATTGTACATGTTTTGTAATGCCATATTGCTATTACTACATAACGAGATCTTGTCTCCTAGTGTGGGATTGGTCTTAATAAGATTTAATAATACATTCAAAACATCGGCAACAGTGTCCGTTTTTTTTTCCATGAGAGGCATTAAAAATTGCTTGACTTGAATAAGCGACGTTACCGTATCCTCTTGAATCAATTTTTCATCCGAGTGATCATCTACACCGTTAATCAAATTCGTAATATCATGATCGGCAATATTCTTTAAGAAGTCGATAAAATCAACAGCATTTGATAATTCTGTTATCAATTTCCAACAATTTTCATTAACCGTAGAAAGATTTTTATCTAAGAATTCAAAAATACTATTTATTTGCCCAAGTTCCACGCCACAATCCTCATCTTTTAAAAGATAAATTGATTTCAATAGACAATCTTCTTCTCTTTATTACGTAGTACATTGAAAATACAAGCAACTGTTCAAGTCGTTCAATCCAGTGAGGAGTTTTTGATAGATGATCAAGTGTCTTTATAAATTTCTCGGTTTGATGTTGATAACCCATTAATTCAAGTTCCTTATTAACGTTCATAACATTTTTCCAATACAAAGAAGTATCTGAACATTTGAGTTTTTCTCAATCCCTAATTTGTTCAACTAATGCTTCGTATCTTTCAAAAACAATCGGCATCAATTTTTGCGCTATATATTCCACTTTGGTTGCAGCATCTTCCTGGTAACAAACTTCAAAGATATTTAAAAAAGTTAAAGATTGATAATATTTGTAATAACGTCTCGCGCTGTCTAACGTTTTTTCATGGAACGCCCAAAAATCTGGTGCAATTGCTTGATCCAAATTTACTCCATCTAAAAATTGCAATTGTTGTATATAATCATCTATATCTGAGCAGCCGAACAAAATCTTCCATAAAACTGGAAAAGCATATCGAATTGAAGTTGAAAAATATTACAAACCCCCCAAGTTTCGCAATCTCGTCTCGAGAGACGAACACATCACTTAAATATCTTTTTTGCCAACAGTTGCATCAAAATGAGAAAATAATTCATCATCGGAATATTTTAAAAGTTGTTGCAATAATCTTATATCAATTGTTTTTTTAAGGAGCAATCCGCCAAGTTCGTTTATAGACGCTTTAATACGCTGAACGAATGGGTTTGAATGAAATTTTTCAACATTTCCAGTAGCGATAATACAATCTTCCAAAATTTACTAGCTTTTAAAACGTTTAAAGGAATTTTCGAAGATGTAAAAGATTGGCTTTGCAATCTAATCATTATATAGTATAAAATCTCTTCGCTCATCCTAACAATTATTCCATGAAATAAAAATAAAAAATTAGTATTCTTCTTGTTTAAGAATTAATGAAGACAATCATGGATGAAAAACTTACGGATTTGGAACGTTTAAAATTTTGTTTCTTTTATTGCAATCGCAAATTATAAATAATTTATCAATTAACTGATCATCAATTTGTTGAACGCTCTTGTTTAATATTTCTTTTATCATCTCTAAAAATAATTTTTTGAATTCCATGCGCTGTATCTTCAATATTAATTTTGTTGTGGCAAATATATGAGTTTCTGAACATGTCTTCACTCTTTTTATAGCAATGGAGGTTATATCTCGCCAAATATTCATCCTTTGACCAAGCAAAGGAAACATACGTTCTAATTGTTGAAATACTAAAAAAATAAAGTTACCATCCTACTCTCATTTGAAGAACTTTTCTTACTTGTACCCAGCTCGATCAAAAAATTTATAAACCAAGTTACACAAATAATTGGTATCTTTTTCTTAGAATCTTTCCGGAAAGATATTCAATAATTCAAAATTATTAGATTGAGATTGGTAGCCCTTTTAATAATGTTCGTTACAGTACAGTTAAGTTAGTTAAACCATTTGATAAATCAATCTATTGCATTTAATAACAAACTCATAAAACATTCATTTATTTATTTTAAAAAAATAAAAAAGAAAATTCTTTTCTAGGTAAGAAGTGCAAGTGATTATGGAAGCTATATTATAACTTTGTTACCTTTTCAATCAAACAAGTGTAGAATTTAAAAAAAAATTGCCACATCGCAATTTTTTTTAATGAAAAGGTGCATGGGTGTGTTGACCAATAATTTCGTGGTCGAACCCATACAGGGTTCGTCCTTGCCTTTTGAGTGCTAAAAGCATCTCCATGACTCCTACTGTTTTCTTCCTTTCGTACTCTACATAGGACACACAGTCCCTGAGAACATCCGTGACAAAGTCCTTTATGCAAGTCCTTGCGATATTATAAATATCACCCGATATTCTCTTCACACCGCCTCGGCGTGCCATTCTTCTAATCGCCGGTCTTGTGATTGCCTTAATATTTTCTTTTATTATTTTCTAAAAATTAGAAACATGAAAATTACAGTTAAAATAAGTTAATTCTGTTACAACTTCTTATTCTACGGGAATAAATTTTTACAAACCAAATATGATAATATACTTACTCTATGTCGTATTTTATTAACTCGTCTGCTCGATCCCGATCCTGTTTTTGGCATTTTTCTGTAGTTCAAAAAATAAAATCCTTGTTAACTTATTCCAATATTATTAATGGTTTTTTTACCTTTAATGGATTGAATAAAATAAAAAAAAGTGGGTGTGAATTTTTTTAAAAAACAAATCGGTTTAATTTTTTAAAAAAAAAGAAACAAGTGGGTAATTATTTTTAAAAAACAAATCATTTTAATTTTTAAAAAAAAAAAAGCATTTTATATTTCCATATCAGGATTGAGGAACCATGGTGGACTTGTTACATAATACTTTATATAAACGGCAAACCAAATAGTTTGATATGTCATATTGATATATAAAAGTATATACGCGACGCGACGCGTATATTATACCACATAAACTCCCAATACTCTAAAGTTTCGATAAATACCTTTTTACTATTGCAAAGTAAATAGATTCCGTGAGCCGTTTTTTAATTTTACTTTTTCAAGTCAGTTTGTTCTTTAATATTCGATAAATAAATATGAATGACTCTTCTTGTCCTTTTCTATTTCTTTAGAAAAACTTTGATACATTTTTTTTATTTCTTTTTCTTTCGTTTGTTATTACCAGGTAAACTGTTTACGTCTACTAAAAATATCGAGCTGTTGAGTCTATTGTTTCCGGAGAAGGGATCAGATTATGGATCTTCCGAACGGCGATCGATCTGTTGCTTTCATAATTTTTGTTGTTTTAATTGTTAAAGCTGCTTTGATTGAAGTATAACAAAAATAATGTCAATAATTGGTGGATGCCTTATGAAATGTCGTGGAGATTACTGATCTTGTCCTTTATGAAGGGTACCACCAGGACGTTTTAGTACAATAGATTAAAATTTTTCGTTTTTCAATTGTGCTAATGATTGGAAGACCAAAACATAAGCAAGCAAAATGAATCGCAAGATCATACTTGAGTCCAATGTAAAGAAAAATCAACCATAGGATTTGTATTAGGTAATTTTTTTAATAAGAATTGTTATTATTAAAAACAATAAAAACGATTATTTTTTATCTCATTATCTCATAACCATAAAACCAGACTGCTAATAATGATTTAATAATAAAATACAAATTAATATATGAAATATTTTTTATGATTGAATTAGATTCTAATTTCCTGGTGGCCGAAATGACCAAACTGTCGTCAGAAAAACGCTCGTCATACAGCGCAGTGAGCAGTAAATTTCCCGAGGGACATAAGTATTTGTATAATATCCAATATAGTAATTATCTTTGAGTAGAAGTACTTGTGTATGAATTTGAGTTTACAAAGAATGTTCACTTATTTGTTGTTGTTTTTTTAAATTGATTTTTAAATTAGGATGTTTTAATTTAGAAGTAGCAGGCATTTTATCATATTCTTTATCGGTAAATGGTTATTCTTTCTAGGTAAAGTAGAGATAAATCTTATTCGTTCCCCTCTGGGGTTTTAGGTTTGCCAGTTTCCACGGTGGTGATTTCTCGTATTCGTCTTCACTAACTCACCTTCTCCGACCTGTTTTTTCACAGATGATAGGAACTACCGTAGCACCAAAGAATTTTACAAATAATCTTTCAAAGAGTTATGATACTCAGATAAGTTAACGTATGTAATGTGATCATAAATTTTTAATGTACTGTACCTTCACACAGTTAGCGAATTCCAAAGCGTGATTACAGGTGACAAACTTTCGCAGTAAAAAGAATAAGTATCTGATTCATTTTTTTTTTTTTAGTACAGAACTACAAAATCAATTTTTAAATCCCTATTATATATAGTAAACATAATATGCTCACTAATGACTAGAATTAATAAAGTAAAGGTTCCTTGCTTCAATTTTGTACTATAAATGATTCTTCAATGTTTGGCGTATACCAAAATCTCACATTTAAACTCGAGTCAAGTTTATTCGACACCTTAAAAGTATTGAATGATGAAGCACCATGAAATCATTAAAAATTTATTATATTATTATTTGTTTTAATAAAATTTACTTACTGTAACTAATATAATGATACAAATTGATTTATTTATGTATAGTGTATTTCACTTAAAGCACCTTTTATAATATAAGAACTATTTTCAACACCATTTCTTACTAAATCTATGGATAGCTTTATAACGGTACTATAAGATCATCAAAGGATATAATAAGGATTGGGGTGTTATGATATATGTATCCTCATTACAATAACTTTTAATTGATTCTAATCCCATTGCATTAGATCGTCTTAAAACCATTTCAAAGTTTTCTTGGCAATCAATAGTCCAAAATCGAAACCTAGTGATGAATGACCCTCATCGTCATATTGCTGGACCATAATCCTTTTAGTTCTTTCTGTAATTTGTCGATTTCAAATGCAAGCGCCAATGAATTTTCAATAATGACATCTTTTTATTGTTAAGTTTAAAAAGATTGAACCTTTTATCTTGTTTTTTTTCGTAAATTTTCGTTTCTCGAGGCGTCCCAGCTTAGTTTGCAAGAACTCATTTACTTCCTGAACGCACCAGCCACGAACTTAACTTCTTGGACTCTTCTGCTGTCACGAGAAAAGAATTTTCATTATTCCTTTCAAAGTTACTGGTAATTAACCAAAAAAAAAAATAAATTATTAGTTTTTTAATGTTCATTTAAAGAAAATTATGTAAGAGATCATACTTTTGCGGAATGATTCTTCCTTGTATAGATCGAGGAGGGCTCTGTGTTGAAAGGTGCGTAATACTGGGTATGTAAGTCTCGAAATAAGGCATGTTACGAAATATAAAAAAAAACGCTAGGTCAGATAATCAATTATTTATATAATAATTTTTTGTACAATGTTTCTGGCTTCGTGGAACATATTTTTTTTAAGTCATTGGATATAAATGACTTTTTATTTGTAACTATAGTAATCCATATTAGGATAAGCTTTATGCATACATACCTTACATATTAAAATATTTTTTAAGTAATTCTGATTTATAATTTAAATAAATGTTAGAATTTCAAAGGCCTGTTGATTGTTAACTAAATGAACTAAGCGTTAAAAAATTGATCCAGTTTTGAAAGTTGGAGTTTAAGGATTTAATCAATAGTACGATCACATTATTGGATTTTATTATTAAATAAAAGTTCTGAACTAATTTGAAATAATCAAATTTACACATCCCTAAATTAACTAATAAATGTAAAGATAATTGCATCTAATTTTAGGATTTAATAGGGGAAATAACGCAAACCTCATTTTCAATTTCCTATGACCTCCCATAAATATGAAGTAATTTATAAATTACAAGGATATTGCTCGAATGTAATAGTCACCTAAAAATGTATAATCGTGTTTTATTTGTGTAACGGCACAATTCCCATTTTAAAATATAATCTATAAAAAAATTATTTGGAAAAATGAATACCGTTCCTAAGAAAAAATCAAATAACTTGATGACTTTATTTGTAAATATGAAATTTTTTGATTGAAAATAATTGGATGCGCCGCAAGGTATTTTTGATTGAAAGAGTTTCAGCCATATTTACAACTGATATTGGATTTTGGTTATGTAGGTGCGTCAAACAAAAATTTGATTCACCGCAGTAAAAAGTTTGAAAATAGATGTCTCATCCATATTCAATTAAAATAATATTTTTTCACAATAACCTGTTACGTAGGATACAGCTTCTTTTGTATAATAAAATATGATAAAATTTTCTCTTAATATACAATGCATAAAATTTATTGAAGTTTTGCATAAACTTAAAAAAAGCAATTTAGAATCATGGTAAATGTAAATAAGACTCGTTTACTTTTTTAAAAAAATCAAGCGATTCCTATTCAAAATTTGTAGCATGTGAATTGCGAATCAATTTTTTTTAAAATATAAAAAGACGAACAATATGCAGTTAGCAAACTTCAATTTTGTGTCACCAAGTTTGTTGCACTTAATTTGTTGTGTAAAGCATCCATTCATTAAAGACAAAAATTGTGGCGATCCTTCCATTTAAATTTTCTCATTTTGGAATATATGGGGTGGTTTTACAAAACACAACTTTGTTCAAAACAACTTCTTTAGGTAAAACTATTTCTTTATTATGCATTCAATTACTTGCATTTACTAGTTAAACGAAGATTTCATTTGGCAATTTTTAATGTTTTCTTAGAAAATGAGGAAATATATCGTTAAAGAGTGGGCTGAGCTTATTTCAGAGCCCGTTATCTTTAATGAACAGTCTCAACGAGTCTTTGAGCATGCTGACTTACCCGTAGTAAATGATGGACTATCATTGACATTAAGAATAAAACTTCACAGTCATTCTTCCAATAGTTCTATTATTTTTCACAAAGGTAAGAAAGTTTAGTTCTTTTTTTTTAAAATAATCTTGTTCCTTCGGTCTCAAATAAAATAAACAAACATTTAGGTACCGAATCGTTTATCCGAACACCTAGACTCGAGTTATTTCCAAAGAAATCCTCATTGCAAGCTCGGTTCACTGGAAATTGGACTAATAATGCAGGAATTTATGAGCTCGGTGACGGACTTTTGTTAAATAGATGGTACCACATATCTTATACACTTTCTGATTCTGAAAAGAGATTAGACATCTACATTGACGGTGAATGGTTTGGATATTATGGAATCCAGAACGTTACAACAGAAAATGTTATATTCAATGAAGGACCATTATATATTGGACGTTCTTTCGACAATGGGTTTAATGGCGAAATTTGGTATGACTTATCTTAGAAACACTAATACAAATAAATAAATATCATATTTATTGTATTGACATTATCATTTAGTAATGTCCGCTATTTCAATTGGCGTTTATGTGCCGAAGAAGTTAAGGAAGATTTCGTTGTAAGTTATTTATAATTTTCTCACCACGTGCATCATTTAAGATAGATTGCTCTGACAACTTAATTTAAATAATAATTTCAGAATGATGTAATTAAATATGGGTCGAAGGTCGCCCTTGTCCATGTATCTACTAGAAAATATTTGACTACTAATGAAATCAAATATCCAGAAACCAACCAAAATATGGTATTTGTCAAACTTTTTTTGTTCTTTATTAGTTATATCGAAAATTAACTTTGTAAACTTGTTAAGGCTGTGTGTAACAGTTTGGGAATAGATTTGAAAAATGATGTTTTTACCATTATTGAAGCTTATGGTACAAGTGTGAACACGGGAAGCCCTGTGCCTTTAAATTCTATTATTGGATTTAAACATCAAGCGACAGAAGGTAGATTACATTCTCATGGAATTGGTGTGGGAGGCACACCAATATCGAAGTATCAGCAAGGTATGTTTAAAGCATAAATATTTTAACAAATAATCATTTACATATTAAAGTTTATAAAACAATAATATTTAGCGACCATCTGGAAAGGTAGAGATGTTAATGATAACTGGGTCGTTCAACGTTATAATTCAATCGCTTCTAAAAATGAATCAGGTTATTTGTTGAATGGTGATATAATTAGCATAATCCATGTTAATACTGGTTATCCAGCACTTTATAGTCATCCCGTATTATTGGATGATGGAACTCAAGAAGTTTCTTGTCATGGAAACGGAAATGAAGAAAATAATAAGGTATATACTTTACAGTTTAATTCAAATGTAATATGGCCATTTTTACACTAAATGATAAATCATAATGCTTTATTTAGTGGCGTATTGAATTAATTGATGGTTCGAATTTATGATGTATTTGTAAATTCCAGCATTTCAGTCTTATATTTTATACTGTATTATTTTTGTAAATCGTAAAATAATTACGCCACTTTGCAAATAATAATAAAGATTACTTGAGATCACTTGACAAAAATAAACTAGGCAATAACTGCCTTATGGAGTGAAATTGTTGCAGGTCATAAATAACCCATATCCCACATGATTTATAAAAATTTTTTGTAATTAAATAATAAATTATATTTCATAACTCTGGAAAAAACCGGATATTATTGCAGTAATTTAACGGGTTGCGCAAATTATTACATAAATAAACTAATAACATTTCGTTTAGAATCTCCAACTTCTTTTTATTGTCAATTTCGCCATAATTTAGTATTTACGTACTGTATAATTTACATAAAAAAAAGTTTGAAAATTAAATTATGTTATGGCTTAGACAGCTGATTCGAGCTCAACCAAGTAGATTTATAGCTAGTATTAATATATAAAGATTATTAAAATTTTAGCGTAACGAAGTAATATAAATAATCTTTGGTATACAGTAATTGCGAATATAATAAGCATGGATAATTTTAAAGTTTCTTTTTGCTAGAATTTAACAATCTAAATATATCATAAATACTTGGTGCTTCTGTCCACAAGCGATCCTGCAGTGGCTTAGCCTGACCACGGAAATCCTGATTGGATTAGATACACTGTATTCTTAATAAAGAAAAGGTCATCAATTATTTTATATATGAAGTCCCTCATCAACAATTCATACATAAAAAAGGCTGTCAAATCCTCAACTGATCTGACCATATACTTTCTTGTATCCTGTGGCTACTTTAAAAAAAAAGACTGGACTAGTAGAAATAGTTGTACAAAAGTGTATAACACAGGTTAAAATATCGTAGATCCTACAAAGCAAAACATCAATCATATTCTTTGAAAATGCAAGAATCGCTGCGTAACTTTTTTTCATAATAGTATTCGAAGATTTTATTTTGTTTTACAATTGAAACAAAAATAATTTGTTTCAAAATAGTAATCTCATAAAGATTATTAATTTTGAACTAGTAAAAGCAAGACAAGTCACTATTAAACAGTTTATCCTCGAATTGCATGAGCAATTGTTATTTATAACATATCATATTAAAAAAAAAAAATTTTTTTTAATATATTCTAGACTCAATATGAACGACTCACCATTCCGTACGTTATCATTTTTGGATTCACGGGCATATCAGTGACGCCTTTTTGAATAATGAATCTTACAACGTGAAAATTCTTCGAAGAAAAGCCGGAAGATTTATTTAAATGCGAATTCAAACTTGTTAGCATAAAGCGATGCAGAAATCGTATATGTGGATTACGGGCAATAGGTGACCTTGTATGTGCCCTTAAAGAAACCGAAGTTATAATATTGGCTTTTACGTAGTTCAATTACCATTGTTGATTGCGGCAAAAGAATCCGGTATAAAGAGATACATCCCATCTGAGTTTTGGCAGCAGTGCGTTATTTGATTCAATTTCTTTATTTTTTTGGTTAATAAGTCCTAATAATTTCATTGCATGAATTTCATGAAGTTATTTATCCATCAATTATTGGATCACAAAGCAAAGTTCCGAGCAGAAGTTGGACTTGATTATTTTCACGGAACTTGGAAGGTAATTGTAAAAAAAAATATTAATAAAAATATTAAGGAGTGTTCAGAAAGCAGTGTGCTAATAAACATAATATTCCCGGATAAACAAGGACGCGGTCACATAATCACTAATAAAAAATCAATAAATCGCTTGTAAAAAAAAATTTGAAAATCACTTGCTCATAAATAAAAATAGATCTCTATAAAAAAAATATATATATTAGTTAGTAAAAAAATTGAAGACCATATAAAAAAAAATATATTATCATTAGCTGATTTATTAGCTCTCAACTCGCAAAACCAAATAATCATCCTTTTCTATATGAATGATATAAGTTATCAAGTGATCCACATTCGCAACAACATTGTAAAATATTCCAAATTTATACCACGACATTGACGTTGGGGACGGATCGACTTCGGTTTTATATCCGGTTCTCCCGGTTCTGATTTAATGTAAGTAATATTGTTCTAGGATAAACCGAAACAACATCCTTAATCAAGTTCAACTTAACATTTTCATAACCGATGTGGCGCTGTTAGGTGACACAACTAATTGCAACTAATTATATAAGTTTTACAGTTTTTTTACAGACCCGATATTTTGTCACCTGATTCGTCAGAAATTCGTATCTAACGAACTAGAAAAATAGCTGTAGCTTATGATCTGTTCAGTTATTAAATAATTTTAATAATAGTCTTAATAAAATAGTATACAACATTCTAAAGATGTAGTTTTTTTTTTATTTTTTAAAATTTGTAATTAAAAATATAACGGTATTGATTTAATATAAAAATTTGATTTTTATATAACAATACTCTTTTTATGTATAAATTTATATAAAAAATATTATTATAAATTCTTTTTAAAAATGGTATTTCAGATTTTTAAAGACCAAAATTTTAATATATAAAAGCGTTTTGTAATTTTTTATTATTTAAATGCTTAAATTTGTAAACAATGACAAAGCAAATGAATATGATATCTTTTATTTCATGTCTTACAGATCTTAATTCGCAATTGAGCATTACTGAGTCATCTTGGAAGGAGAATACATTCCTGACCTAAAAATAAAAGAGAACTTATCTTAGTTTTAGAGGAAGAGATTTTAAACAAAATAAAGTTTTTAGAGAATTTCTTAGAAATTGTTGAGCAAAGTTGCTTTTTAATTTCCTCACCAGTAAAGTTCCAGTTTTAACTCTCTATTATGATGGTGGCAGATTATTTCCATACCGTATATCTTCATATTCATCGATTCCCTGTCCATTTGGAACCATTTTTAATAGATTGTACAAATTAGAGGTTGGAACCGGCCCAAAAATCCTTAACCGGTTAACAAGATAAACCGGTTAATTTACCTGTCAAAAATTAACCGGTTCCAACCTCTAGTACAAATAATAAAGCAATTCAGATTTCAACTAAGCTTAAATAAAAATAAAAATAAAATCAGCAACAACACTATAAATAGCTTTGAAATTGGGAACTAAATTAAAAATACATCAAATTTAGTTTTAAATATTGAGCTATTTAAATTATTTATCCTTACTTGTCAAATATTTTATTGTGATGTTTTTTGGCATGAACAGCCAGTTCACACGCCATATTGCACTTTTTTTTACAATGAGGGCACTGAAAGTGCATTTCTTTTTGATGTTGGATTAAACTTTTTTCATCATAAAAATCACTTTCACCACAATACCTATTAAATAAGTAATGTTTACTTGACAGTAATCAGTAATAAACTTGGATCCTTTAAATTTAACTGAACTTACCAGCACCATGGCCTTCTTTCCATTTTGTTTAATCTTTTATACAATAGAAAGTTCGAAATCGAATACTAAAAATTTGGGAGGAAAAAAATTGTTTTTTTGAAAGAAAAAAGGTAAAATTAACCAATACTGACCACAGCAACAAGATAAAAATTATAAAAGTCATTAGTTAAAAAAACAAATAATAAAAAAATTATCGATCGAGCACAGCAAGAAGAAAAAAATCATAAAGTCATTAAACAAGTAGCGTAGGACGATATATATTTACGTTGTTTATAAGTAATTTTTCCACCCTCACGTGACCGGTGATATTTAAGGGGGAGTGAAACAAAAATTTTTTAGTGGTGAAATGAATCAGGGAGGCGTGACATAGAGTGACAAATAGTACATATCACGTGGGAGTTGAAAATCTTGGGAAGATTATTTACGATGATATGATCACGTGTTATTTCTGTTTGTCCCGCCCTAATCCCAAATCATAAGTAAACTACCACGCGCCTGACATCTGTGACGTGACGAGTGAAAAATAGGATTTCACACCATAAAAAAACTAAGTGACGCGATGTGACAGTTTATTATATAAGTATAGGTGCACAAAGTGCAAGGTGTATCAAATAAATTTTCCTTTATATACAGTATATGAAATATAAATAAAATATATTAAATTCTCCTCCCCTTTTTAAAAAGAGAGCTATTAATAATAGAATTATACATAATATATTATAAAAGTTATGAACATACAGTACTCGCAAATTTGATTAATGTCAATCTTAATTTTCAATCCATTTCGTTTGGCTCCTTCAACAGATGTCAATTTCTATAAATTTTATTTCGAATAGATGAATCGAATTGTTTTCCTAACATACCTCTTTAAAATTGATGGTCGGTTTAACCGAAACGTCTTTTTAAGATTAAAGACATTTAACTATACATAAAGTATAATAGGCGACAATATATCGCTGAACATCGTATAGTCACGCACGATAGGATAACAATATAATCAAATTTTTTCTTCGTTGTCTTGCATTATTATATTTTCTCAGTTCAAATATATTAATTAAAGCAGTGTATTAAACGTTGAACCAACAAAATATTATTAGAATAGCAAATATATTTACGAATTAGTAACATACTTGTTTAATCATAATTTGAATATCTACGTGAACATTATGAAGACTTTATGCCGTATATTTAACGGAGACTTTCATCAAATGTTTGTATTTCCATCTCCATCAAATTATAAAATCGGAACATAGATGTATGATATTACTTACATTACTAAAATACTTTGAGTAATACTTTAGAGTCATTTTGTATCTTATTCAAAGAATTTGATGATTTCTCTTGAGGCTTTTCAATTCTAATAACTATTTATGTTATCACACGATTCTGAATCTTATCTGAAGATATAATTATCAACATCAAGTTCATGATTCATCTCATCAATGGAACACCAAAATTAGGAACAAATATTTTAACATTCATTTATATCCCTATCATTTGGCGGTATCTTCAATTAAATCTAAGCTTATAGAAATTCTCCTATCATTAGGTTCAGTTCACGATGAATATTTTCTATTACTGCATGCAACAAATATTTAGGAGCAAGTTCTTATCATCATTTTTAAAAATGATATTCTATGGTAATTAATTATTTGCATTGATTTCACTAAATATTTACTGTTAAAATAATTCAAACATATTAATAAGAAGCCATGAATTCATCTTTCTGCTTAATACAGGTACTGTTGAATTATTGTGTAATGCATTCGCATCCTTATCAAAATTAAAAACTCTATTCACTACTCTCTAATAAATGATTGGATTCCCCAATGTCTTTCAATGTATTACAATATTTGATAGTATGCCTGATAAATATCAAATTCATAATTTACAGTAGTGTGCAATAAAAATGACAATTTTTTTGAAAAAAAATCATCAAGTGTAACTAACCCAATTTTGGTTATACATGCATAAATAAATATGCAAACGAAAGCCCTATCTCCTCCAAATGAAACTTTCCAATACTTTAAGAAAAAATAATTTTTTAAGCATTAAAATGACTTCATCCAAACAAGAAATCCAACAACAAACAATTTTACATTTTTAGGAGAATAGAACACACAGTGCTTTCAAAATACACTCATTAACAAAGTTACCACTTAAGACTATCTATTGGAATCTTAAAAAAATCAAAGATACCGGAGATATTAAATGTAAAAGAGGTAGTAGGAGTATTAAATAAATAATACCAGGTGCATCCCAAGCAATTAGCCAATATATTCAAAGGAAATCCTCAATTTCTACCAAGTCTGTTGCTGCTAAATTGGAAGATATTGAAGTAAATGTCTCCCGCTCAACAGTTTTGAAGTATTTTACAGACCTTAGATATAAAAATACACTTCCCCTTTGTACACCAATGTTAACCCTAGTTTATAAGTAAAAACGTGTTGAATGGGCCCAAAAACACTTGAATGATAATTAGAACAGAATCCTATTTAGTGATGAAAAAGCTTTCCAATTGTTCTGTAATACGATAAAGCATTGCCTTATAAATAATCTGTATAAGGAAAGTATACAGAAATAATACGTTTAAAAAACATATAATAAATGTAGAAAAACAGTATAATAAATTTGTAAATATTTCTGTATACTAGATACAAAAAATCAACTTTTTCTGTATATAGAAAAATATAGAATGTATATGTCTAATCAGTATATTGTATACATTATTTTTGGTTGGATTTTAACATATAAACATTAAATTATATATATAATTTTGATTGCAATTTTTATACATAAAATTACTCAAATTTTCATTATAAATTAAATGAAAATGTTGTGGTGGTAATGGTAGAGCAGGAGAAGGAAAAACATCATCTAAAAAATAATTAAAAAAAATAATAATAAAGATCAATTGATTAATAAATTTATATTATTTTTTTTCATTTCTTTTTTGGGAGGCATAAAGTTGATTATTATCATTATCATCATTACCATAATTTACTTTATTTTTTTTATGATTATTATAATCATGATGATGTTATAAGTATTTTTTATTACTTTTTTTTTATTAACTAACTTCTCATTTTAACTTGAATTGTTGAATTTCTTTTTTTAAACTATTGTTACAATATAATAATTAATATTATCCTAACTGCTAAATAACAAAATACTTTATATACCTTTTCTATCAC